ATCAGCACTACATCCCTCAACAGACTCCAATGGGTTCAAAATGCAGCTGCAGTCTCTACAATACCAGTCATTGCCCCATCAGCCCAGTCCTCAAAGAGCTCCACTGGCTTCCTGTCTCCCATCGCATCAATTACAAAGTTCTGGTCCTCACCTACAAAGCACTCCACCATCTGGCCCCCCCTTATCTCACAAACCTTCTCACTCCTTATCAACCCCCACGGTCCCTCAGATCCACAGCAGCCGGACTCCTATCCATTCCCACATCCACACTCTGCAGCTTTGGGGACAGAGCCTTCTCAGTGGCAGCTCCTAGGCTCTGGAATTCCCTCCCCCAGATCTCCGTGACTCTGAGTCCCTCACAGTCTTTCAGTCCCGCCTCAAAACACCTCTTTTCAACTCTGTCTACCCATAAGCCCCCCCACTCTCAATCAACTTCCTCTTGACTGCCTTTTTATTTTTTATTTTACTATACTTACTTGTTTGCCTGTCCTTGTTTGTCTACCCTCCCTCATATTTTAAAGTGTCTTTGAGTTGTGAAAAGCACTATATAAATAAAATGCATTATTATCATTATTATTATTACATTTGTACTTGTCTGAGGTCTCAAACAAAGGCTTCATTGCTTAAGTTAAAACGTTTGGCCTGCATCTTTTTTTATAATTTGGCATAAAAACTTAATTTAACTTTTCGTATTTTTATGTTAGAACTTTTAAATGGACTATTTTATTTACATGACAGAGTTTACTTAATTGTATACAATCAAATATCTGTAACAGTTTTCATATAAAGAAGCTTGTGTAATGGAAAGTGATTTGGAAAGAAATAATTGATTGACACATCTGCTTGAACTGCTACCCCCGCGACCCGACCACGGATAAGCGGGAGAAGATGGATGGATGGACATCTAAGTAAATCCACAAGTATTAAAATGTGATGCCTACTAACCGAGTTAGCTTGTTTCCTGGCTTGGTTGATCAGTTCTTTGATTTGAGAGATGTTACGCCTCAAGTTGTCCTGCAGCTTTTTGATTGGCTGCAGCTTCTCCAACAGCCTATCAGCTTCATCCTCTAAGTCCTTCACTTTAGCTCCTGCAGCGTGGACTGAGGGGAGAGAGAACAGCAGTGATACAGAGCAGTAGAGAATCTGTTAAAGTCAACATTATACAGTGGATTGTAGCTGAGACGGCATGGAGAGTTAGCATGTGAAGAGCCAGGAAAGGATGATAAATGATGGCAGCTGAGGAAATCACAGATATTACTCAAGAGATATGGAGAAATATGGAAAAAGAACAATGGAGAAGCTAGCGAGAGCCGAACAATTAGTGTAGCTTAGCATTCAAAGAGAACCTTTTTTACACCATTTGCTTTTATATATTAAAAAGCTTGAAGCTGAAAAAGACAGGAATTAAGAAATAGACAAAAAAAAGAATGACACATAAAGGAAAATACACTGCCCCATGCTTTGCAGTGTGCAAAGCTCTCATGCTGGAGCACAGCATTAGAAGCAACTGCTGCTGTATAGCAATTAAATATAGTCGTAAAACTATTGTGTGGTGCTCCAATCCTGTTGTTGAAATCATTTAAAATAGGATTCAGAATTATTTCAGAAGGAAAAACAACAAATGCTTAGAAATGTTTGCTGGAAGGCAGCAAGGTGAAACTACTCTTAATATTATTCGGTAATTACAACATGGTATTGGTGCACCACTTAGAATATAAAGTAAGCTTGGGTAATTGAAATATACATACTGATGGCTGTGGGGATTGAAAAAAGAGAGACAGAGAGAAAAAATATGTCAGGATTTTGTGGAATTCATGAATTTACGAAGCTCTGAGACAATAATGTAGTAGCTCTAAAATAATCAAGACAAATCAGACATGATTTCAGAGTTTAGAGATCTTACGATTGAGTTTCAAGTTATTCATTTGTTTGCGGAAACCTACATTTTTAAAAGGTACAAAATGAAGTGAGTAAACAGGAAACATACAAACCAATTTTGCCTCACAAAAGCAGTTCAATATCAAACATCTTTCAGGGCAATAGTAACAAACTGACTATTTCTCACGGTAAATGTTTAATAACCCAACCAATAAGGAAGAGGCAGTGTTCCTCGAGGCTGAACAAGCCCACATAAGACTTTGTACTTTGTGTGAAGTTGTAAAATAGCCAATAGTGAGGAGCTTTACTGCTTTTCTCCGGGTCCTGGATCATGTCATTAGCTGTTTTGACGGTGTCCTCCAGATCGCTGTAGTTGCTCTGGAGGCCATGGAGTTGCAGGTTCAAATCCCCGAGGCGCTCCAGGACGTCGATGGCGGTGGCGTTAGCATCTGCTGCTACGGCCTTTGTGGCTGCTAGCTGAACTGCTGTGTCTGTAAAATGATGACATTTCATAATATAAGTATTATGTGTGGGATGTACTAATGTATGCACACGAGACAATTACTTCAATGTTCTATCATTTGCCTAACATCATAAATAAGACTACTGACACGTGAAACACTGCTGGCATGGGAGCTTGCAGTATAGATAGTCGATGGTTGCTTTCATTGGTTTTAAATTGTATAATGTTTTGTTGTTTTTATTTTTGTTCTTATCTTTATTTGTTTTGTGAGCTGCGCTGTCTTTGTATTTCTCTATACATCACTTTGGTCTGGAGGGTTTAAAGTGCTTTATACATAAAGATCAGATAGCAGAATAAAGGAAGTTTCATTTCAGAGCAATCACCTATGTATCGGCCACTGAACCACGCCTCCAAAGCAACTCTTTGCTCACCTTCTATTACACAATGTGCTCAGAACCATGTAGATGTCCAGCATGATTAACATTTTGATATTGATTCATGTGTTATTGATGTGATTGAATCTTGAAATCCATTGCAAAAGCTAATAATCATTGCTGAGCGCTCACCAAAATATCAGATTTTTGAGCAGTTTGTGAAAATCCAGTGGAAATCACACTAATAAGGATTCAGCTTCTTATGATCTGACATGTTACCGTATTGTGTTCACTCACTCACAGGGATTTGAATGGGAATACAAATATGTTATATTGACCTACTGGTCATATCATTTACAATATGTAGTAGCTGCGGTTAATGGTTTTCTGCGAGTTGATCCAAACGCAGCCGTGTGCATCACTGAAGTTCACCGCCCTCGCTCACTGCAGAGTATTTCTGTGTCTGAGAGTACCGACATGTGTCAAGTTGAGTTTACCAGAGCAGCTGACCTCCATCGACACAGTGATATTGATCCACTCTGCCTTTATCTCGCTCCCACACAAACACACACACACACACTTTGTATTTGTGCAGTCATACCATTGGGGATAGAGTTGAGCATTGCCATGGTTCCGTTGACAGCTTTCAGAAGGTCTTTGGTCATGTCTCTCGCTGCTTTGACTCTGCCCTTCAGCCCGGACACACCATCTTCATTCTCTACACACACACACACACACACACACACACACACACACACACACACACACACACAACACACACACAACACACACACACACACACACACACACACACACACACACACACACACACACACACACACACACACACACACACACACACACATCAAGGTTTGAAGTCAGACAAAGTGGAAACACATCCCTTACCCTCAGTAACCCACAGTCAGTGACAATGATAGCAGTTAATCTGTTTTCGACTTGTGAATACTGCATGTATAATATCCCTTTATAATACATGTTAACATTATCTCATTTTACAATCAATTATTAGCCTAACTATATCCTGATATGAACGTTTATACAGAAGGGCTACCAGCATTTTTAATTAAGGTTGAAGTGAGATTTCATATAATCTTCATTAGACAATTTTTTAAAATAAAACTGCCAATATACCCACACAGTGTATACTACATTATTACACTGGTGACTATCGTCTCTTATCATTATCACTCCATGCAATATCTTCTGGACAGACATGATTTACTTACCTTTGACATCATTTTGAAGTTGTTTGGCTTCGTTCAGCAGTTTGTGGCTCTTCTGCAGGGCTCGCTGAGCGGCTTCCTTCACTGGGACCTCTGGATCTAAAGCCTAGAGGCACAATTTAAAGAAGTACTTCAGTAAAAGGTCTACCTACACTGTAAAATGTATTATCTCTTTGATTTACACACGGCATCTATTGCACGTCTGTCCGTCCTGGGAGAGGGACCCCTCCTCTGTTG